TCTGTGATCCTGATCACTTCAGATATATCACTAGCCTCCTACAAGAGCGTGGGATACAATATCACAGTTTAAACCAATCATGAAAAACCATTAAAAGTGGTTATCAAAAAACTTCACAAGAATTCAAATACTGAAGTAATTAAGTAGGAACTGCAAGAAAATGGAATTCCTTTCCTTAAAGTTCGACAACTCAGGACAGTAAAAGATGGCAATACATTAAAACTTCCACTTTTTCAAGTTGAATGCAAACGAAGTATTGAAGGCAAAAAAGTCTATCATATTAAGAAATTAAGAGGATTAGAAATTTTTATCGCCTTTTGTCATAAATGCCAACATTATGGACATGCGAGGGAATTATGTCATTATACGGCGAGGTCATGAAATGTGCAAAGCCGCACGAACCTTACACCTGTACTCAAAAGAAAGAGAGACAACAAACCTGCATGCTGTGTCCTTTGTGAAGAAAACCACGTCTCGATTTATAAAGGTTGTGTAAAACACCCTAATAACATTCAAAAAGCCATCGCTGTAGCAAAAGCCAAAAAAGCAGCAGAAGAACGCAATAGATTTCAATATAAAGCTGCTGACTTCACCCTTTCAAATGAACCAACTAAATCAGCTTGGACAACAAATCATTTAAACACTGATAGTGAAAACGAAACTTCAATCTTTTCATGGATTAAAACTCACATAAATAAGGCTAAAGAATTCATACAGAAATTCAAAACAGCAAAATCATTGATGAGTAAAATCGAAATAGGCATAGCCGCTTTTGGCTATTTTATGAATATTAATTTGGAATTCTGGTTTGATTAACTGCAATTCCACAACTGCAACTTTATAGTTTCACTCATTTAATCATCATCTTGTATATAGCGCACTTGTAGTTTGTACATACTTTATTTACTTAAGAATTTTCCACTCTGGACTTAGTGTTTTTCTGTTTTGTACTCTGAGAACCGCATTGATTCTCAGAAGCCACGCAAAGTTCAAGTTTTTCATTTTTCATTTAAATATTATTGTGTAAATAATGCATTTTGTTGTTTTTCCTCATCGCTATGGACTATGTTTTAAAGGAAAATACATAAATTTATTACATATTAAGTGTTTTTATCGTTAAATTAAGAACTTTTAATGAACTTTGCTGATTTCGATGTCGACCAACCAGGTGCCTTCTCAAGATCACATGACTTCTCCTCTGACTGCCTCTACGCCAGGGTAGCGCAAGACGAAAAACATCTTTCGTTCTTACTTAACATACTCATGAACTCTCATTTTGAACTTTCGCCTCGTGCATCGATGTACATCTTTTATTTTTTTTTTTTAAAAACCAAGCAAATGTTTAAATGGTTATAATTTTCAGGATATTGGTTAGAACTCTTTGTAGTTAATGACAGCTGTAAAGATAAGACCTAAGAGTTATAAAATGAATGAAATGTAACTCTGTTAAGGGTATAGCGTAGCGCCAGAGTGTCAATATGGTAAACAAATATAGTGAATTTTAAAGAGTGCATTTATTCTGTTGTGGTTTATGCGCTATCGACGAAGTAGATTTAATTCAATCCAATAAGTTTAAATGAAATGCAAGAAAAAATGAGTATAATTTAATATTCCGTACAAGGAAGTCATATGGTGTACACATCAGATTTTTTAACAAAATGATTCGTTTCTGACAAACTAGGTCCTTTTCCACAGGAATTTTGTTAGATTTCCTGTTGCTGAAAATTTTCAGATTCTTTTCTACATTTGAGTTTCCGGTACCTCATACATATTCGCTATTTCTAATTGCATGAATATTTCAATTTATATATTCAAAAATGTTTTCTTTTAATACAAAATTTTAATACAAAACTAGTGCTGAGGAGAGGTATTATCACAATACACACGTTCATTGTCTATCCAATGTTCTGTATCAGAAGTTGTGCAAATTTTTATTATAATGCGGCGAAATGCCAGCGGATGCACAATGAAATAGCTCCCTGCAAAGCGGTCAAAAAATGATATTTAATATAAATCTTATTCATCAAAAATGTCCTGCTAATAATAAATGATTACAAAATAAATCATAGAACTTACCTACTCCTACAGCTGCACTATGAATACATTAATGATCTAAATACTAAGAGTCTCTCCTACCATATCCCAAAATATACATACAATTTTTAAATAGCAATTTTTTGCGAGATGCTTCCGTTTACTTCTGCGTTTGCTTCCTGCTTCCCATCTCATTCGTCCAGATAATCAGAATATCTTCTTACGCAGGAAAACAACAACTTCTCTTTTTTTAATAAGTTTTATATACTGCTGCAAATTTCTCAAAATCTAAAGACTGTTTAGTAGGAATGAATGCGCTTAATAAGAATGAACTCGCTTTAAACATTTAATAAAATACCAACTGAAAGCTAATTCCACAAAATTTTGAAATCATTTATTTATTATGCAGGACTTCGCAAAGCTTTGTAAAAGGGAATATGCTAGAAAGAACTTAAAATAATATGGCAATAAAAATATTAAGTAGAGAAAGCAAACAGATATTCTGAAAAAATATGGATATTCAATTTACAGTTTTGAATATTAAGCTTATAATTTAATGTAAATAAAATAATTAAAGTTTAAATATCTAATTTCATCTACAGCATCTAGACACTAAAGAAACTTTTATTTAAATTCCAAGCTGTACTTTCTTTGATTCCAATCCCCAATACATCTCAATTAACAGAATTTTTCTTTTTTTTTAATTATCCTACCTTTTTTTTTTATATTCTGCCATGTCTCATTTCAAAAAGGCAGTCATCTGCCATAAATTAAAGCAAATAAATAAAAATGAACTAATTGTTAATTCTTAAATGTATAACTTCCTTGCATGAGTAACTTGCAAGCTAATTGTTCGGGAACGTTTAATTGATACTACAGTTGCCAATTCAAAAACATCTAATGTGTACACCACATGACTTCCTTGTACGGAGTATTAAATTATACGCAATTTTCCTCCACTTCATTTAAACATATTGAATTAACAGTTAACGAATTTTGGATTAAATCTACTCCGTCGATAGCACATAAACCACAATAGAATAAATGTACTCTTTAAAGTTCACTGTATTTATATACCAATGCGACACTTCGGCGCTAGGTTCACTTAACAGCGTTACATTTCATTCATTTTATAACCCAGAGTGCGCAAAAACTATATCATCTGAAGAATTACCACATATTCTATTAAAATAATATAATAAATCTAAAACAATGTATAAAAGAAATTAAACAAATGAAAAAGAAACAGTTTTCACAGATGTTTCAGCGCCTCTTACCTAATGCGCATGCGCCACTAATTAATTCAGTTCTCACTTCGCGGCAAGGCAAAAATGCATAAAAAATCAAAATATTTTCATTAAAAATTGAAAGATAGAAAAACATAAAACGCCAAAACAATTAAAACAATTAAACCGATTTTTTACAATTAAAATTACAGTTTCTACGCAAAACAAGCTAATAACCTAAATGATAATTCCAGAATGAATTAAGCAATTTAATTTGCAATAATAAAAGTTTGGTTTGGTTTTGTGTAATTATGGCAAAGCCTCGAGGGCTATCTGCCCTAAGGGGAGGATGCCTTCGTGGAGGACTTTCTAAGGGAAATTGGCTCGTATACACGTTACACATGGGAAAAACCACGAAAACGCCCATGCAGCCAGCCCGTTCGCGGGATTCGAACCTAACTACCAGTGTTCAGTGACTTTACCGCTCGGCCGCTGGTGTGGCCAATAATAAAAGAAGACATTACTATGCTGTTGCGAAGCTTAGTTTCTATAAATTGGCAATAAATCCTACATTCTACTAAGTTTCAAACGTAAATAAATATGGCTTCTATGCTAAACAAAAATTAGGCTTAACCGTACTTAAAAAACCTTTAAATAGATGACCACAATTATTGCATGCAGGTTAAATAAAGACATAAATACCTTAACCGGAAGATAAGAACAACATAATTCAATGATATTTAAAGCAAAAAATGCACAACTAATCCGCAATAAGTTATTCAGATTCGTTCTAGAAGATCTATGTATTCCTAAGGATCACATGAGGGAAATGATACACCAGCAAAATAAACATACGTAAAAATTCACAATTAAAACACATTTATTAATCGTAGGTTAACATAAGTTTATACAGATGGGATAACTGGGTCCAGGTTCTTGCATAAACATTATTTAAAAAGTATTCACAATTTAAATACTCAAATCGAAATCTGAAATTGAAGGACATACAAAATGCCTTCTCAAGTAATATAGAAAATAATACAACAATTAAACTTTCATGTCCTTAATTATTAATTAAGGCATACTTTATAACAACTAAGCATTAAAAAATTCGTTTCCTCAATTATTAATTAATTAACAAGTAACATTTCAGATTTTCATTTAACATTAAAAACGACTGATCATTCCTCAGAAATCAACCTTCCAAAATCCTAATAATTAAATAACATAAGGAAAAAGCATAGAAAAAATAAATTACTCAAGTTTAGAACACAAGGCAGTCCATAAGTGAAATTGACTGTATTCGTCGGAAATTCTCTTCACCGATGAGCACGTGATACTTTGATACTTTTTATGATAGGCATTTTTCCCTGCTCTTACCAGTACCTTTCCATTTAGAGATTCCCATTTAGGGTCGGACCTTCCTGAAATCCGTAGTTAAATCTAGATCAGCGGTCGCCAGCCGGTGGTCCGTGAAAACTTTTTGATGCTCCGCAGAAAAATTGGGACATTATTCATATTTTTATGAAAATTCGGTTTAAAAACTGGCGAGTAACAAAACCTATTATGGAATGCGGATTATACTTTTTTTTTTTTAAATTTTAGCTACTACTTTTAGCGAAATTTTTTCTGAATTTAACGACTTTTTAGCTACTTTTGCAGGTGTATCTAGCTACACTTGAAAGTGAGAGTTGGCATCTATAGATATGCTGCTGTTATCAATAATAGCGCGAAATGGAATTCTCTTTCCTTTTGAAATTACAAGCATATGCTATTGTAGTCGTTAATAACGCAGTTTTTCTCCGTGTCAATATAGGCAACACGATGGATTTTTATGAGAACCATCTGCATTCTTGTTTATAATTGCATGACTGGAAGTTTCTGTTTTGCCTAACTGTTGATCGATGGCGCCATTGCTGAGTAATATGTTTGCAGTAATTAAAAGTTGGAGGCATAAGACTTTCAGTTTATTGATATTGCTTTGCGTTTGCACATATTTCGTGGAAACAGTGCATTTACTAACTTGATGAACAATTACGTATACACATGAATTGGATTCGCCGCTTAAAATTACTACTTCTTCCTCATGTTTAGGCAGAATCATTAAGAACTTGTTGAAAGAAAATAGCTTTATGGTGTATTGAATAATTCTTGGTTAGTCAGTTCATCCTCTAATTACGAATTATCATTTATTTATAGAAGCATAACAAAATGCAAATACAGCTTACATAAAATTAAAATGTCTTCCATTGATGTTTATTGTGCAGTACTTCCTGGACGATAAGGTCGACACATTTTAGAGCGCGGATCAAATTTTTCTCCAGCGCAGCAGATTTTATTCGGCTCCGGAACGCACATTTTTCCATGTACATTGAACAAGAAACTAAAACGAACTTCTCTACCACGACTACCACCATTTATATAATTTAAACAGTCTTCAAATTCTCCTTCTTTACATATCTGAAAAATTTCTGCAGCAGTCATTCCTTCATCTAACAAAGTTTCGACAATCGCCGGTTGACATTTAGCCCATGTCAAAATTTCATAATTGCATTCTGCACAATGCAGGTTCTTGTACAGCTTACTGTTTACATAAACAGGATCCGAATAAGACTGACACAACTGAGATACAGAGCGATTTCTCCATGAAAGAGAACAGCGAAAGATTTCACTAGTCGAAACGCAAGGTCTCAATTCTAAACTCTCAAGAAACGTAAAATCATCATTTTTTGCATAATACTCGCATTGCCGCTTCTTCTGAGAACTAAAGATTTTATCACGATTCTGATGCCACCATTTGAAGGAAGACAGATCTTTTGGAATGTTTTCCTCTTTACACCTGAATTAAAGAAAGGAAGGAATAAATATGGTTAACTAAATGCTGAATTCAACAAATTTTATTCAGAACACATATAAAAATCACATATAGTCTAAATTTTAGAAAACTGCATTTAGTAAATTAAGAGAAAATACAATACCAGATTACTTTGTAGCATTTTAATGTTATTTAGCTAGGAAAAAGAAAGCATTATACTATAACCACAAAAATTTTGAAAATGACCCGGAACCTTTAACGAGTTACTTATCGTCACATTCGTTACATCTCTAATTGATATTAACTAGTATAGAATATTACGCTAAGTTCCAGAATTACTTAAACAGAAGAACTCCTGTTAATTAGCGATAATATATTTGCCACTTTTCAAAGGCCTTTTGATCATCCTAGATTTTCTTCAGATGACTTTATGGGAAAAAAATGATTTAACAAAATGCTGGTTCCTTTTTATCTTTGTCACTGTCGAAAAATAAAGCCGCTCGAAGGAGCTAGTTTGTTGTTTTCGGGTTTGGGTCATAATCCCGACAGCCGAAATCCCAACAAGCCAGAATCCCGACAGTCGGAATCCCGACTGTCCAAAACCCCGACAGGGCCGAAATCCCGACAACCCAAAGTCCCGACACGGTCGAAATCCAGACAGGGTCAAAATCCCGACAAGCCAGAATCCGACAACAAGTTAATATCTAATATAAACACTCAATTTAGCTTAATAAAAATACAATTTTTAACTAACTATTACATATTACTAATTAAAAGTTTAAATCAAAAAAATCATAAAAATTATGTCATTACTTAAAATAATTTTTAACAAATTGAAATGACGTTAAAATTTGAAATGAAGATTTATAAAATTATTTTTATTAAGAAAAAGAAAACATCACTTACACATGCAAACGACATATTTACAGTGACACATTGTGAGCGATAGCACGAAGATATTCCATCACAGGTCGATTATCACGATCGTCCACAACAGTCATAATTCTCCTTTCTCTGTCCTACCTTCCTACGTTTTGGTTATTGTTCTTCGCGAAGAATGCATTCAACTTGGTATTCCACATGCTCCTGTTTTTTTTTTTTTTTTTTTTTTTTTTTTGAAATCCTTCTATGATGTTATAAACGCCGACATGGGCCCGTCCAATTAAGGTGTCCCATCTTCTGTGCCAATCCTCGACAGCATTTTGATTGCGCGGAGCATTTATAGCTGCCTTTTCTAGATCACTAATGATTCTAGATGGCCTCAGTTCAATATTATTTTCTTCAGCGAAATCAATTAAATCTTGGAATAATCTTTTGTAATTTTCTTCAGATTTGCTAGTCATCAAAGCATATACTAGTTGCAGCTGTGGAAGTATGTTAAGGGGTCATTAGGCCTTATTGGGATTTCGCCCGTGTCGGTATTTTGACCCTGTCGGGATATTGGACAATCGGGATTTCGACCCTGTCGGGATTTTGGCTTGTCGGGATTCCGTCTGTCGGGATTCTGGCTTGTCGGGATTTCGGCTGTCGGGATTATGTCCGGATACCGTTGTTTTCGTATGTTAAACCATTTTGAGAGGAAGATTAGGCCCTTTTTCTTGTTTATGATCCAGATTTATAAATAACAATCTAAGAGAAACTGTAGTATGATTTCATTTAATAGTATTTAATTTCTGTTGGTTTCCCGAGTAAAAATCTGTTGTAGAAATTTACAGACTCAATGATTTTTGAATCTTCAAATTCAAACTCAGTATTTGCGTTTAGGTAACAACAGGGATTCTCAAATCCCATTTCAGCCGATATTTAAGTCTCCAACATGCATTTTTAAAGGAATTTTAAATTTTCTTCCTATCATACCAAAATGTTTCAGTTCTTCATTTTTGCTATATATTCTACGGATATCATAAACTCTGCTTCTTCCCTTCGAATCTAAATTATTATGTTATTTTTAACTATACTAGATGTTCCACTGTTTTGTATCGACAAAAGTATCTTTTTGATTCTTTACCCGTTAGCTCAAACCTGGAAGCTAAGCAGTTTTTATGGAAAAACCAAATTATCAGAATCCTTTTTATTCTTCATTTTCCTCTTACAGTAAATCCTTACGACCATGTTTTTTTTTTTTTTTTTTTTTTTTTTTTTTTTTTTTTTTTTAATAATAATAATCTGCAATTCTTAGATATGTTTTAGTCATCAAAATATATTTATCTAAAGCAGTCTCCACACAGATTGTGATTGCTCTCCGAACAAAAAATGCAAAAGGCAACTTTTCAAAGCTACCATATGACTAAAACTTCTTTACGGATAAAGCTAAAATTTGATGCTGGTTTCCTAATAACCTCCCTGCTTAAAAATTTGCTTCATTTACTTATTTATAAGTCCAAAGGAGCATTTTGACCAGAAGGGCTATTAATTTCGTTTTGGCATTTTTGCGTCGATTCACGATAAACGTTGTTTCACTTTTCAAATTGTTGCCACTAAATATTATCGCCCTGTATTATATTTAAGAAAATTAAATAGTGAAGAATCTGCATGAATGTATGTATGTTTCTCGCATTGTGATAAAATAACGGTACCTAGAGCCATCAAAATCTGAATAGCTTAATCTTCCACAGAATACAGGCATGTGGAAGCCCTAATTTGAATTTGAAATTTGTTTTATTACCAATTTTATATTTTATAAAACTTCAAAAATTTTTTATTAAAAAACTAAACGATTTCAAAGCGAGCAATGGCAACACTGTACTGAAAAAAAAAAAAAAAAAAAAAATCTGAAATGTTTCAGATTTTAAATTACGTCCAAAGGGGCGTTTTTTTAACGTTTTGAGTGTTACCTTTATTTATTAAATATCATGTTCTTTGCACTTAAACCATAAAATTCAGTTCAAGAGCAATATCGGAAAATAATGTTAAATTAAGCATATCTTTAGAATTTCCGATATACACAGTCTCGCGAGCTGGAGATAAAAGTATTTTTTTTCTATATAACGTTGCCATTTCTCGCTTTTAAAGCATTGAGTTTGTAAATCAAAAATTCGTTAAAGTTTTACAAAATATCAAATCTATAATAAAACAAATTCCAAATTTGGGATTTCAGATGCCCATATTCGCAGTAGGATTTCGTCATTCAAAATTCGATGGCTCTATGTACCATTGTTTTATCACAATGCGAGAAATAGACAATCATTTATGCAGATTTTTCATTATTTAATTTCTTCAAATATAATGCAGGACTCTAACATTTTGTGGCAACAGTTTGAAAAGTGAATCGACGTTTATGAGTCCGACGCAAAATCGCAAAACGAAAACAATAGTCCTTCAGGAACAAAGCCCCTTTGGACTAAAAAAAAAAAAAAAAAAAAAAAAAAAAAAAAAATTATCTCAGCACTCGAGACTGTATCGGAAATTCTAAAGATATGACCATTTTAAAATTATTTTGCGATATTGCTGTTGAACTGAATTTTATGGTTTAAGTGCAAAGAGCATATTTAATAAATAAAGCTAACACACAACATGTTAAGGAAAAACGCTCCTTCGGTCGTAATTTAAAATCTGAAACCTTTCAGATTTTTTTCATTTATGTATTATTTATTTATTTATTTATTTATTTAGAGAAATGTCTAACAAAGAAAGCTATTAGACTTCCTGATGACAATCACGACGAAACTTCCAGCGGGATCAAGAATACAAAATAAAACAAGGCCAAAGTGCGCCATTTCGCAATTCCACGCAACTCACGGAACTGGGCGAAAACATTCATGAACACGACCACGACCACGACCGCTGTATTTGCAGCCGTGGACCTTGAAAGCACAATTTATTAGTGCATTACTAGGTTGTTGTAAGATAAAGAACATTCCTGGCAAGTTCATGTGTGTCATACTGCAGTGACGCGTATGAACTTCTCAGGTAGAGTATTACATGCATTGTACGATTAACCAAATGGCTTGTAATCCTGAAACAAATACTGACTTTGCGGCGCAAATGCAAGTGATGAAATGACGTAGATGTAATCAAGAAACGGCAGGTCTCTTATGTCCAGTGAAAAGGACTTTATACGGAATTTACCGAATGGGAAACAAATATCTTTAACAGCGTTTGCCTGAAACACCGAACAAAGAACCACAAATCTTCACAGCTCCTGAGACAGGTGGTACGATGGAACACAAGGTGGCACAAGACATTAATTTTTCTAATCAAATGTTTTTCTAATGGGTGTTTTATTTCCAAACGTAAATACTGAAAGAATTTCCAAACTGTTTGTATAATAGGGAGCTTCAATTCATCCGCGATTTCTTTTCTCAGGAAGGAACGCATACTACCTAAATCCAGTAGAGCTCTAATTAAAACCGACTGCATAGTTGTTCGAAGTGTTACGCAACACGTTTGAAGCGAAATAGTTTTAATAATGCTGCCTGAGAACGCTGAAAGAACATGCGAATCTTATATACTTTTATTTTTTTCATTTCGCTCTTTCTCAGCGCGAAAGCATATTGAACGGTTATGTCGACCTTTGCACTTTAGGAGCAGACGAGATCGCTTCGACATTGCTTCACGCAGTGGTTTGATTTCAGACAAAGGTAACATCTTGCATGTTTACGTAATAAATTTCTCTTCTCATCAACTGTCAGTGATTCACAGTCTTCAGTAACATTTTTGGATGTATTACAAATCAGACACCAATTAGTAGTTTTGTTTTCTTTAACCGGCGCCAAGAGTTGGTAAGTGGAATGGGTGATACTCCCGTTCCCACCCTTCTCTTTATAACAGGGAAGTGTTTTCTGATTTATGAGTGGACAGGAAGTGTTTTCTGATTTATGAGTGGAGAGCAAAAGATGGCTTCTCTCGCGACTTTCAAGTTCTGAAAATCGAACAAACTGCAATAATTCGATCCAACATTAAAAAAAGATGACGAATCCGTTTTACGATTGAATTCTAAGGTTATATCAGATTGGCAGAGTGTTTTCATTATGGCTGGAATCAACATATAACTGTATTTATCCGGTGTGACTTCTAGTGATTTT